AGGAATTCTGGGAGTTGAAGTCCACAAGTCATAAAAGGGTCCTAGTTCCCTCACGCTCGCTCAGGAATTCTGGGAGTTGAAGTCCACAAGTCTGTCAGCAGTTACCAGGATGGACGGCCATTTTGGATTCTTAGGACCTCACGGTCCCGGGGTTCCAAATTTGGACGCTCGGCAACTGACTTGCATTTACGACGGTCGTAGCATCCCGTGATTCCCCTTTTGCGACCTTCCCATAAGCAATGGGGGGAAGCCAGATTCACTTAACAACCATGAGACTAACTTCGCCCCTGCCGTGATTCGCTTAACGGCAGCCCTGGCAATGGAGGTCGTAACATGGGGCGAATGGAATTTGCTCATCGGACGTCCCAAACGCCAGTCCCTGCAGTGGTTCGCTTAACAACGGAGGCGAGCGAGGCAGGTCGTAAAATGGGGCAAACAGACTTGGCTCATCGGACGTCCCAATCGCCAGTCCCTGCAGTCATTCGCTTAACGGAGGCGAGGAAGGTCATAAAGTGAGGCAGGACTCATTTAACGACCAGCTCGCTTAGCGATGGAAATTTTAGGCCACAAGTTGAGGATTTCCCACATGAAGATGAGGCCGAGTTCAGGAAGGGCTTTCCTTCCTCCTGGTTCCCGGACCCCCCGGCTTTTCGCCCACCCACCCATCCACCCACCCACCCATTTTTTTTTATAGAACAAACCCCCACTTGGAAGGGGCCAGCACCGCTAAGAAGTGGCACATGGCCTATCACGGGACGAGCGTCGGAGCCGTGCGCCGCATGTTGGATCAAGGGGAGTTGGTGCCGGGTAAGTGACAGCGCCTGTTGGCCCGAGGGGCAAAGGCACCAGGCCGGGAGTTCTAGTCCAGCCTTCGGCACAAAACCGGCCAGGTGATCTTGGGCCGGCCAGTCTCTCTCAGCCCTCAGAAGGACGCAACGGCAAACCCCTTCTGAAAAACTAAGGAGAAACTTCCTAACAGTTAGAACAATTAACCAGTGGAACCACCTGCCTCCAGAAGCTGTGAATGCTCCAACACTGGAAGTTTTTAAGAAGAAACTGGACAGCCATTTGTCTGAAATGGTATAGGGTTTCCTGCCTGAGCAGGGGGTTGGACTAGATGACCTCCTGGGTCCCTTCCAACTTTATTATTATCATTATTATTAACTCGTGGAGAAAGCTGGCGGGGGGATGGTCCAGGAGTCAAGCCCCGCCCCAAATTGCATCCAGTGCTGTATTTGGGGGGTCCCCAAAACAGGAATGCAGAGG